GGACTAACCTGTAGCACCTCATGCTCTGGAGGTGGGAGTGATGGCATGTCCTCCGGCACCGTCAATTCGAAATCTTGAAATAAATGCATTAGAGTCATCATATCACTCTCTTCTTCCAGCCCAGCAGTGCTCGAAGACTCAGCCGAATCCAGCTCAGTAGCACAAGTGCTCGTCTGGCTATCGACTGACTCACTTGGGGAAATTTCAAGCAACTGGAGATATATCCCTTCATGTACCGGTACAATCTCCCCCCAAGTATAAGTATAAATCCAATTAGGGTCAACAACCTTAATGGCACAATCATTGACCCAAACACATTGGTTTTCAGGCACAACTTGACCGAATATGGTGTGCACAGTCAAGAAAGTCCTAGTATTGAAAATGAAGGTCCCTCGAAAGTTGCGATGATCAGAAAAGTAGTCGATCAGTGCTGGCACAACATTTTCACCCTCATTGTTCGTCAGGATCACATGTGGCTGCCTGCCATGCATATCGAAAGGCGGCGGGCGTACTGGATGGGCAAAACAAGTCCTTCGCCCCAGCACATTGTTCCAGACACTCCTGACAATCATCCCTCCAGGGAGGGAATGGTCCAAGTAGACTGGTCGCATCGAAAACGCCACAGATCCTATCTGGTCGGCACTGTGCAGCCATACTTGGACAAATACTGGACCTGAGACCGGCATGACCTGCATGACATACGAATTGATCAAGTCTATGCTGAGTCCCCTCGGCGGCGATAGCTGCATGAGTTGATGTTCATCAGTCTCAGCACTTCGCCAATCAGTACTCAATCGGGTTGGAAACCTGTTGTCATGGCAGGCTCCGCAGTTGTTCATCTGAGTCGTTTGGTCTCCAGTAAAAGCAATCCCATCACTTGTGTCTGTAGATTGCACAAAATCTGGAACAAAACTGGTATGCACCGCTCGACAGACAGTATGGTATCCATCTGGAGCAAGAAGGAACCTTGGCAAAACATCATTGAATTCATTTGCGATATCAAGGTTTGTCAATGTATCGCCACAAAACTTGATGTCAGCCTGGCCCTCCCGCACGTCATCTTGGCATCTTGATTTGCCAGTGGGCAAAGGTCTTGCACATGACGTAGACAAGACATTGCATTCGGGGCACTCTTCGCTAGTGTATTCATGATGCAGAGCATGAAACGACTCATTGCAAGATACTTCCTGCCCAACACGGACAGCCTCTGCAGTTGCAATATTCATCAGGAGGATGAGTGTAACAAATGATCGTCGATAGCGCCAAGTTCTGGTTAGGCGCCCACTAGCATATCGAACTGCCCCGACTTTTCTAACTCGGTATGGAAATTTCGGCTTGAGCTCACTTCGTTGCCTAAAGGATGCAGCCAAGCAGCACAAGAAAACACAAGAGAGATGCCCCCAGGAAAGCATTTGTAGGATGTGCACACCACAGCACTTTCCCGGCAGCTCGTCTCCATGATGGCTTCCACACTCTAGCAGGTATGAGTTCCAGCACCATGATATCATCCATAGGCCACCCGTTTCATACCATTCATTCACTGGAAGCCAGCCGTATAGTCTGTAGTGCCTAAGGCAGAACAAATTATGAAGAATTGTAGCCATGCGCTCCACTGCAAGTGCCAGAACAATAGCCCAGACAGGTGTCAGCAGAAAAATGAAATACCTCTTTACGGCAGATAAGTGGAAAATGCCGGCATCAATCAAATGGTGCCCGCCACTGCCATCGTCTGTCGTGTAGTTCGGGGAAATGACATCCGAACCTATCAACAAACACTCTTCCTCATTGCAGTCCCCACTGACCGCAAACTGGCTCCTCTTGGTGGTATTGACTTCATTGAAATACGAAGCCAAACCACAATTCCCGGTCACCTCGAGAGTGATATTTTGCTTTCCACAGAAAGATCCCCATCCTTCTAGTGGAAGACATCGAATTGCTTCCCACTTCCATGTATATGTCTCGCAGCCTTGAAAAGTGGCGCCAGTACAATACCATGGAGAGGTACTTCTTGGGATTAGTCCGACAATTGATCCAGCACCCTGCCATCCTCCTTGCTGTTTCGTCGGCTCATATTTGATGACCCCTTTGCATCCATCAGGGGCAACGCATACGGCCCCTCTCGGCTCGTCTTTTTGGGAGATTTCCCAAAAGGCTTCAGAGCATCGCTCTTGCTCATCTCCCGAAGGACCTTCATTTCTCCACTTTCGGGTACAGCCATCTGCTGCAGCTCCTTGTCGACCATGACCGCCATCTGGCAGAAGGCTTCTGGTGTGTCGTATAGATCTGGCGCATTTTCCATGTTGCGCAACACTTCTCCACGCAACATCTCTGGCATCTTCTCCAACTCCTTCTGTACAAACTCGTTGAAGTTGTTCTTTGCGGTCTCCACGGGCTCTGACACACGTGCCTTGGGAGACCTTGTTCTCTCCCTTTTCGGCTCCGGCTCTTCTGGCATAGCCAGTCCATGGACACGTGTATGGACTCTTTGCTCTGGCGATGGAAAATCGAATCCCTGAGGAATTCTTGCTCCAGTCGCGGCATTGACCAGAGTGGCCATCTGCATCTGCATCTGTTCCAAGAACTGCTGATGTTTGGATTCCATCTGGGCTGTATAGTTCATCATCTGTGCCATGCCATGTTTCAACTGTGTAATCTCCGCCTTCAATCCCTCGGGATCTTCGTGGTCTGCGTCGAGGTCCATCTCTGCCTTTTCGCCTTTCTCTTCCTTCTTCATGGTCTCCTTCAGTTCGGCAATCTCGTCTTGAACCCTCTGAGCTTCCGTTTGAAGTCCACCACGGATGTATTGATCCCATGCTGCAAACTTCTCTTCCTTTTCTCGGATAGTCTCTTGCAGCTTCTCCGACCTGTTGAGTAACTTCCGCTCTTCGTTGAGCGCTTTTTGCTTTTGCCGGATAAGTTCTCTCGGATCTTCTTGTACAAGCTCTTGCACTTCCTCTGGGACCGGCTCCTTGGTCTCGACCTTTTCCAGAAGATATCGAATCGCTTGCTTGAGCTTCGAATTCTCTTCCTTCAAACCCGGCTCTGTCTTGTCCTGCTTTGTAGATGCCGTAGACGAGGACGACGATGAAGATAAAGCAACTGGGGTGCCGTCGTAGCCAAGCAAAAGGGGCTGCTCCTCCTTCTTCTTGCCTTTTGCCATCTTCTCGACTGCCGTGTCTTTTCCTTTTCCACGGCCCTTCCCCTTTCCTTTCTCCTTCTTCACCTTGGGCTCGCCCCACCATGTCTGTGTATCCCATGAGCCATAGTCGTAGTTGGTCACCCATGGCATCTTATACTTAGGCTGGCTATGGTGTCTTTCCAGCAAGCAAAGAGCCTTCTTGACCTTTTCCACCAAGCTGTTCCTTGGCGAGCCTTGGAAGCTCTTGACAAGCTTCCTTGCCTTAGCACGCTTTGCCCTCAGCTTCCGGTGCCAGATCGGGCTATGAATCTTCCCTATGGCGGCGCTGAAGCGACGTACCGTATTGGTACTGGGGCCCTAAAGTAATCCTGTGGTCTCCCTTGGGCCCTTGTTTGAGCCTTAAAGAAATAATTAGAACGTATACAATGCTTACGTCCAAGATCTCATTCCTATGACCCCTTATAGTGGAAAATGATGGGCACTTCTGATAAAAGCACAGGCATAGCGGGGTATACGCATTTGTGTGTAGCTAGCATGATTCGTATATCAGCAGAGCGCTGCGACCCAGCCCGGCCGAGCAACCCAGCGCACATCCTTGACGGCTTGGTCTGGGAGCCAAAGCCCATGGCCGCGCGAGCCAGCGAGGAAGGTGATGGCCCCGCCGTGCGTGTGGCCGGAGTGGTGCCAAGGAAGGACCTTGGAGAATAAAATCCGCTGAAAAATGCTGGGTGGGCACAGATTGCCGGTCTTGCGTATTGAGGGGATCGTGACTGACCTCTTCATTTGGCACAAAAAAACATATACTACGCCAGGTGGAGATAACTCTATACACCAATGCCAAGATTTTGGTAAAATATTGTAAAATAGAGGACCAGAGCTATGTGACATCAACTGTCTTGGCCCCTGCGATTGCGTAGCTGTCCATTTCTACAGCATCTTCTGCGTAGGTGCTCCGAGTTGGAAGATAACAGGACAAACACTTACTGTTATTGTGGACATCGGACTCCATATGACAGTCAACAGCTCACCTTAAGTCGCCGATCTATTCCGCACGTATTTCGGTGCGACACCCTGCGCGAGACATCTCCACTTTCCAAAGGTCGACAGGGCATGGAAGGCCCAAATCCCCAGCAGAGAAATCAGCAGCGGCGAGGATGCTCGGCGCATAGTCATGGGACAAACAAGTGATGGCCAAATCAAGAACACACTTTTTGAGTTCGCATGTACCAACGATTCTTGCAGTTTCTTGCTTCGACTCGTTCAAAAAGGGATATTATGTATATATGTATATATAGAGAGAGAGAGCTTGTAGTGGTTGGGTGTCGAAGCAGGTTGGTGTGCAAAAGAGCTTTGAGGTCTGAGGCCTGAGGTCTAGGCCGTACATTCAGATCTGTGGGATCAGGTCTCTAAAGACATGAAGCTTGTTGCTAACGTATCACTGATGTTCTTATGTTGTAGTTGTTTGTGAACATTTTGCTCTTTGACATTGTTCATGAGTCGTTTTGTGGTTGTTCTGTTCTGGTTGTTCTTCTACAAACTAAGCCAAATATTCGGCAGGGCCTGGAGCTGGTTGTGCGAAAAAGTCCTGAACGGCTAGGCATGCTCAAAAAGGAAGCCATTTGACCCGCAACAATGTGCCTTGCTGTCAAGTGAAGTGTGTTGTAGCTTCACATCGGTCCTTTTTTCAACCATAACTATAACGATGAATCATAGGGTATGATTCATACCCACTGTCTTTCTAGCAAAACAAACATCAAAAGAAGAAAAGGCATGCACCCGACAAGCCGCCTCACAACATTACAAAAAGAACAACATGTCCAGAAACATGGGTGTAGACCGGTGATGTCCGAGGGCCGCGGGCCTGTGGAGCCATGTTGGTCCCAAAGACTCTTCGAGATCTAGGACTGACCTGCCAAGTGACCAAACAGAGGCCTAAAGAGATGCCTATATGAAGCCTACAATAGCCTATAATGTATATATATATATATCAGTCGAAAGAAACTGTTGTTGCATTTGCTTGAGAAGTTACTAGTGTCGTTGTATCTGATTCAAAAGATTTGGCCAGTTGCCTTCAACTCCGAGACGTTTTGGGGAAAGAAAGAGTTTGAAAGAGACAGTTTCATGGCCAATGTTCAAGCTTCCGAATCAAGACTCTATTGGGAGACATGCACCTGATCCAATTCATCCACATGATGGCAAATGACCTGACGTCCAACAACTTCAACGTATCACGTGCATCAAAGGCTCACAAACTATCCCGTCACCTCCAGCAATGCACTTTCACCAAGCATGAAAAAAGGATGCTTACGAGCAAATCTTTAAGCAATCTGAAGCGTGCCAAAATCACATGATTCCTTCTCAAATGACCCTAAGACCCTAAGATGCATCTTGCACCAGCAAGTACATGGACAACCCTAATTTGGGGTTCTAGCCTGGTTGCATCCCAAAAGAATACAGTACAACGTCCGGCGGATCTTCATCTTCAATTTATGTTCGGTGGCCTGGTCCAAGTGGCGAAGCGCCTCTGTCAGTGACAGGAGTTTCCAAAAGGAATGCTGCTTAAGCAACTAACACCCGTCATCACCCAAAACCTCATTGCCTGCGCTTCCCAAACGGAGTGAAACACGACATACCAATGACGATCCGGTTTCGCCTGGGCGGCAATCTTTGGCCGCACCCATTGAAGTCTGCCCAAGCCTCTGGTCAGGTGTTTCTCAAAACTCATTCTTCCGTAGAAAAGAAACACGCAATTGAAGCATCCAGCAAAATTCAACCGAGTCGACCAAACGCCAAGACCGGCAGGCTTATTAGCATTCGAGACCATGCTGGGTATGGGTCTTCTATGGTCTCCTTCTGGACAACTAGGATCTTCAAGGTGAAAGCTCAGCTGGCTGCTACTTTTTATTGAAAAGTTCTTTGGAAATATCCTTACGGTTTGAGGATTGCGCCAATATCCTACGGCAATTTGAGGTTTGAGGTGATGCAGGAATCCTTACCCTCAATTTGCCAGCCAATTACTCAATTGCCAGTTGCCTGCTCCTGTGGCATGAATTGAACAGTTTTCCTTTGTATGCTCCGGAAAGAGGGTACGATCAACCAAAAGCACCTCTTGCGGCTACTATAGGACAGGTGCAGCTAGGAGAAAGAAAGGCACAGCTCGGCCTCAACCGCATCTTCCACAGACTCTTGCCAATATGCTGCTCCCTGGCCATCATATGGGTTCACACCGTCCTGCAGGTCCTGACAAGCGCCGAGCGCCTTACTTTTTCCAAACACCGTAGGTCTGTGTAAAGGAAGAGATGCAGGGTTCTTATGTGTCCTGTTCTAAACTCTTCGCTGCAACAGGACGTTCCAAGCAGTTGTATGATGCTTTATGCAGCAATTACGCCTTTATTTGGGCAGCGATACAGTTCGTTTCGCAAGATCGTGACCAAGAAAACAACATTGGATCAAACCCTACGATACTCCGTATGATGTCTAAAGAAATATGTCTTACCAATGGATACCTATTGTACATGCACTTGAGTTGGAGGCGACCAGGTGGATAATTTACCTCTTTGATCAGCTTGGCGTGTTGAGCATGCCCCATGCTCCAAGCTTCTGGCAAATAAGGCACACAATCAGGCTGAAAACGTCCCATTTCCCGTACCCATCCGGCATGCATCGTGACGATGGGCAATGCAGTACCATTGTTGGGCCTGAACGACGACAGCTGAAAGTGAGGCTGTCTTTGTTGGCATTGAGCATCACATGGATTTGAAGGTTACTAGTATTGAGTTTATATATTTATAATATTCTATATTAACTTTAAGTACAGTATGCATGATGTGAAAGGCAAAACCAACAAAAACGTTGCAGGAGTCCCAGCACAGAGATTGTGTTGGAATCCATGGTCTCCCAGCAACGATGCCCTACCTGTAGTCGAAAGCCGCCTGCAATTGATTCAAAGGCAAAGACAAAACTCTTAGTCACTCAAGTTCCACAAATCTAACAGAACTATTTGGAAACTTTTCTGATATCTGGCACCTCGGGGTATTTCTGTGGAACCTGAAGCTTCTTGATCTTTGTCCCACCTTGGAAAACGGAGCCCAGCATTCACCAGCAGGCCCGCTAAGGTGGAATTCCTCGGACTGGGCTCACATGTCGGGCGAGCAAACAAAGATGTCCAAAACATAGTTCCTTTTGGGGTGCCCGGTGCCGATTTGTTCAATCCCTTTGAACCTGTAAGGTTTTGCGTTCCACGACTCGAGCTGAATGAGATGCGGTGGGACACATTTGAGGTCTTCTTTAATGTGAAGACCACTGGCGAAGAGGAACAACATCTTCCAAACATTCATGGGTCATGGTGAATATTGTATGTCTTTTCAGCAGGTCTCTTGGCAATACATTTCATAGGGCTCCAACTCTGACCGTGTGGGAGACCCCAGATCCGACCTTCGAATTTCACATCTCTGCTACGTTACGTGGTTCAAAAGACATGCACAACAGGGCTGTTCTCAATATTAATCGGTCCAAAATAGTATATAAACATGCTGAAGATCAAAAGTAATTTGACGTCTAACGGATTACCAGGGACTACTCTGCACTACTTAGGGATCTCCATGGAACAGCCAGAACGGATGGTCCAGGAAGCCTTCTTAAAGATGCTGACCCTGGGTGACCCTCCTTACTCCTCCTTGGCTGCGAAGCACTGGCGACAACTCACCACACAGTCGAAGCTCGAAGCTGGCAGTTCAGAGGCCAAACGTGAGCAGAAGCGAGCACCACGCGAAGAGCCTACAGACTTGGAAGAACCGTGACATGAACCCATTCCGTGATGCCAGAAATCTCACTGGATTCTTCTGTCCGAAAACCTACATATAGGTTTGTGGTAGAGACACTGCAGTTTCGTGCTTTTGCATGCAGTGCTTTTCTTTGGCTCGGCGGCCATGTTCGTCAAACACCAACCCCCCGTTCATTCAGTGGGCGACACGCTTTGTCTGTAGCTTCAGTCCTGCTTTATCGTCTTCCGTCGCTTCGAATCGACTAACAGCTGGTGACCCAACTTGTTTTCTAGCTTGGTCCTATAGGCAAAACGTTATATCAACACTTGTGTTCTTGGAATGAGTCTAAGACATATCTTGGGTGTCTCACTAATTCCTTAAGCCAGTTGAACACTGCAGCCCCACCACCAGCAATTCGTTGTACTGCAGCATGAAGATATGGATACACTAAATCAGGATGACTGCACGACATGCAGTGTGTGGAGGATCTGATCTCAAGTGGCCCAGGACTCGTCTACATACCCCAGCAGGCCTAGGCAGTAGATCTGCTCCTCATCGATGTTCACTCCTCACGATTCAGCAAATGGAGGAAATTAAGTGAGCATCAGGTTCTACTGGTTGAGCAAAAACCTGGGGAACTGAACTTGGAACCCACCGCAGTACCTGTTGCTTGGCGAAAATAAACGGGTGTGGATGGCGAAATGGCAATCCGTGGAGGCCACAGACTTCTTTCCAAGCTTTTTAGGGATCCACTGCCACCCTCTGAAGTGATTGGAACCTCCGAGCCACATAAAAGGGTCTCCAATCACCGTACCTCAAAGGGTGGCAGTGGATCCATTATTTGTTTTCATTTGTGAGTTATGAGCCGCTGGAAAGATCTGGCACCTTGAGCAGGGAAATGGTGGACCATGAGGAGGAGATTTCAAATTAAGATTTCACCAAACTGATCGTGCGCTTGTCAGGCATTATCAAACTTGGTGTAAACGGACCTCAACTCTGCCAAGAGACTACTTGCCGCATCAGCAATCACTGCCCGGGTATAACCTCAGGCAAAAGATTCTCAAACTTTGGACATCTGTCAGCTGTGGCTTTGCACCAAAAAGAACTCCATTAGACATGATCTTTCCACCAGGTTGCTTCCCAATGCCACCGAGCTGCTCACGTCGTCCGGGCGGCCGGGCAGCGCAGCTGAATGAAGTCCCACATTCAATGCCAAGCCCTCGGCAAATCAAATCGGGCCAATTGAAGGGATTCAACTTATTCAACGGCAAATCAGGAGGCTACTAGGAACAAGAAGCTACTAGGGGCTCCTGACATCGCTACTAGGAGCAAGGACGCTACTAGAAACATGACAACCCACTTGATAGGAGGATGGAGGAGGTAACAACCCTGGTCGCCCTGAAGTCGCCCTGGCCGAATCTTGGACTTTGCATGGTGACATTGAATATCTGTTGGTGCTAGAGCGGATATGGGGTCATCCTGGTCAACCCCTTGTGGCCCTATCTAGACCAAACAAAAAACCAATAAAGGAAAGCGAGAATGCGAACCAACTACTCATATTTCTGGAGGCCGTTCCTTGTGGAGAAAGCAATGGAGACATCCCCACCAATAGCTTCAGTTTGCGATTCTTTAAGGGCTCACATGTCGACACTCTTGCGCAAAGACAAGTCACTGTGAAGAATAGGACCTGCTGGCCACGACATGTATTAGGACCTTGAGTTTCCCAAAGATCGCTGTCACTATAAGGAATCCATCAGCGGGTTTTTAGGCCGTCGGACATCATACCGAACGATTCCACGTCAATGCCGCCAGGGCCGTCAGGTCGGCGGCGGACTCTGAGTCCGTCCGAGGAGCGACTCCTTCCAGCACGGCCACGGCCACGACGTGCTTCTCCGCCAGGCCTCGGACGCCGGCAGAGTCGGACGTCGCATGGGCCGTCCTTTACTTTGTCTCACTTTCTGAGGATTGAGGATCAGATGAAACCAGCAGAATCTCTAGAAGGAGACATGGGTCCGGGTACGAACCAATCAACATACAATGCCCAAGAGGCCGCCCCATCTCTTTTGTGAACAAATCAAAACAGACTCAATCACAGCCTTATATATAACTTGAGGTCTTCAAAACACACACGCTGATCTCAAACCATTGAACCTGACACATTCAGACTCGAATTGTCCTTCAATGCAATAGAGCAAACCTGAGCAACGTTGAACATAACATTGTTTCTGACCTTGTGACCCATTGGAATGTTGTTCCGTCTCACACTCTTGAAATTCTTCAGCGTCACGAACAGTTCACGCAGATCAGGAGTGCAGCAAAAATCTAACAACAACGCTGACTCCCCTCCTTTCAGTCACAAGTCAGTCTACATAGACACAGGGAAAGCATCACTATCCTTGACCAAGACGTCTTTATCTGCCATCCTGAGCTGGAAACTGAAGACAGGTACTTCGATTAATTATGGTGGATGTATGATGATTTGTGCAGATGCTTTCAGCAAAACAGGGTACCCCCAAATCTGGTGAGGAACAGCATGGCAAACGCACACCCTCCGACACAAATATGGAGTCCCGTTGTCCGTTTGTCGATCGGTACAAACAAGTCTATGATGATATGGCCTAACATCTGCCGGTCTTGCAATATTTGAGTCAAAATGCTCGCCACAGAGCCGAGTGGCGTGTCACCTCCACAATACTCAGCATGCCTCAGTGTGGACTTTTTGAACTACCCATGGCGTTTTGTGGGGAATTCACATCCCAGAATCCCGGTAGGGAATTCACATCCCAGTGTCGCCAAAGGTCTTTGGGAGAGGACGGACCAATGCAGTGTGGCAAAGCCTGAAATGGTCTTGCAAACTTGCAAACTCCTTGCTTTTGCCAGGAGTTTGTGTTTGGATGCAAAGCCTCTGGTCGGTCTGCAGCACATGGCTGCTGAAACATCACTGAAACAGGTCATGTATACATGCAGGTGCTGCGGACCAACAGTGACATGTGTTGCAAAGGGTACCAATCTTCCGAAAACCTTGAAACGGTGAAACAACATACCATCAGGTGAACGAACATGATCTTTCCAACCACGAGTTGAGACAGGAGACATTGCTTTCGAGCAGTACATTTGTATCCAAGAGTGTACACAATTCTAGTTTCGGCAAGGAGCCCCAGGATATCTTGCGCTTTCTCATGTTTTCTTATTAGATCTCATTAGTATTCTGATGTATTCTGTATTCACTTTTAGCAGGTCGGATTTCATGTCTGAGCAAAATACAACAAAAGTAGACCCATTACCTTCCCTCTCTGGTCGTCTCCAATGACAGCACCTGGCAGGCACATCCTGCAGCCCAGCCACTTAAGGCATCCACATTGGTTCCAGGGCAAAGCAACCAAAGGGGCAAGGATCTGTTGGCCTTGGAGACAGGTGCCCTGCTCGTGTCATGTGTGGTAAAGTGATGTAGAGTGATGTAAAGCGAGTATGTAACTATAATACGCATGTCGATCGTAAAGACATGACGTTTCTTTGGGCAAAGCTGTGATTAATACTTATATGTCTTCCACACTGTCACAACAAAGGTAGCCGACACCCTGTCACTCAAAGCATCCACCCCCAGGCCTCATACTCCTCCAAATGCGGGGCCTCAAAATTGGTCAACAATCTCAAAAGCCCCCTCCACAAATTGTGTTATTGCTCCTCCACCAACCTGATCTTTATGTGCAGAACTCGTTTAGATTCCATACCCACGTGACCTCCTTCCTCCAGCAGCAGTCTAGTTGATATCAAACTCTTTATGACAAGGGAGATCAAACACCCTGTCACATCCTCTATTCCAGGTAGTAGGACATTGACGAGGCAGCAAAGTCTGAAGTTTGCAGGTTCAACTGTCAATTTGTCCATGATAGTTCGCATGGCTCAATTTCCACTCCAGGCCACATAGAAAACTGTCAGGCACCTCCTGCTTCTATGATTCAGCTATATAAATGAATCATTCTATCGGTCAAATTGTCCAGCGCCCTTTGAAATCGGTCATCCGGGTCATCTGTGTTCTTACGCCAGACCGGATTCGACTCTCAGACCGGTAGGCCTCCGGAGAGATCCCCGGAGATTGCTGGGAATTCTGAGACCCCCAGGCAAACAGGAGATACAGCCTCTCCGCGCCTTCGTGCTGCCTGATGCCAGGGTTTCATGTGGTCTTGCGATAGAAGGGAAACCAAAGTGATGAAATGCGTTGAAGAACTGCTGGTCATGAGGGGTGCATTCCACAGTGCAAGTGGATGCACAAGTGACGGGCCCAGCAAGCTAATTATATTGAATCAGCCACATCGCAAATACATATAATACATCTTAACTTATATGTTATATGTGATATATATATATGTGGTATATGTCTAGCAATGTCACAATGTATAGCATATATGTATAACATATATATATATATATATGAGTAAGTATATGAGTATATCATATATGACATATTTGGTAATACATGCCAATATGGATCTGCTGGTCTTCGATAATAATGATATAAGCTGGTGACTCATTTGGTGACTCTTAGCTTCGCAGCTTCCCCTTGAGACCTGATCCAGCTGCCCCTCGGCTTCGGGCCAGCGGCGAAACTCCAGCTCATCACGTGAAACTGCCTCCGCAGCGAAAGTCGTCAGATTGTTAGTCTGAATGACTGGTGCCTCTCTGAGAATCAAATCATGTTTGGGCAAAAAAACACGGACACGTGTGTTCTGGCGTTCTGTTTTGGGACACGCCATAACATCTCTCCATGCCCTGCAACCCAACAACCAAAACACATCCAACAGCGCTCTCCCGCCTCACATGGAAAATGAAGTCCGAGGCAAAGTATTGCCCATGCGATGCGCATGGACAAGTCCAAATGGATGAAGTAGGGACCCCTTCAAACTTTAACGTATCAATGTGGCTGTGAAGGGTTGGTCTGGTGGAATTGAGAAGCCGATCAAGTATGTTCAGAGGTCTGGCTCGTCTGACTAACAAAGGTTCACGATTTTGGTGCTCTTTCCACTGAGTTCTATTTGGGATATATCTCACTATATATATATACAATTATATATATATACACACTCGTATCTACTCCTTGAACCGGACAGCCAACGGCTCACACGCCGTTGGATTGCCGTCGGGACCGGACTCGCGACTCAAAAAGTTCTTCCGTCGGAGAGGTCAATACATTCATTCCCAAAGAGAGGATGAGTTCAGGAGACTGGAGGAGCCGTTGGTGTTGGCCCTTCATCGCATCTGCAGCGCTTCTGTTTCAGTGACCCTTAGGGGCCAGCAATCACAGCTGCATGCGGCGGTTCTCGCAAGGCCTGGGCATGGAGTTTTTCCAACGGCAACCATCAACCAACATGGCGTGTAATGACCCTCTCAAGTCTGAATATGTGTGATGTGATATGTGTTGGTGGCACTGATGGTGAAATTTTGTTGAGAAAACGTTGGGTAATCTACTTCGTACAGCTTAGATGCCAATCCACCAAGCTCACCGGCGGCTGAGGGCCTGTTTCACATCCTCCAGGATTTCTTCGACTGGTAGGGCCTCCAATACATCAAATGTAATGAAAGCTGATAGTGCTACTCACCAACTGACCTGAATTCATCCTGCCTATATAAAACTATTGTGCTAGCTGCTAGCAAGTAAAATCTTAAACTTCGAGTTTCCAGGGGGGTCCTGCAGCAGTTGGGGCATCCTATTTATATGCTGTTGATGCAGGCGCGGCTCACACAGTTCCAATCCTGTATAATATGTATGCATATGCATGACACCTGGCCTTTTGTCGTACTCGTCTCTGACTGAATCGCGCACCATGAATGAACCTCGGATGGGGGACTTTCAAATGATGCATCAAGGTGTGACGGAAGGTCTGCTTTTCTGTCAAGTTCGCTAGCTGCTGAAGCACTCACATGTTCTGCAAAATACACCTTCAGTAGATCTGTTGCTTCCAGTCCAGGTCACAACCAATGGAATCCCAAATATTGGAAGTATGCGAAGTGAGGACCTGGGACCGTTGCTGGTATGTACTTCTGCCTTCCATGCTCGAATTAACAGTATCAGTTCGTGATTGGTCCTCTGGGAGCCTTGTTCAAAACACAACCCCCCAAAAAGGTCTCTAGCCATTCTCCGTGGAGAGTTTCTCGTCTAAAAACGGCAGAATCTCGAACCCCCAAAAATTGAACCCTGCATGGTAAATGTTCAAAACAAGTCTGGGATCAATGAGAACATTCGACAAAAGGTCCAAACATCCGAGGTCAGTCGCCCTTGAGCAGCCAAGTCGCCCAAGCAGTGAGAAACCCCTCGTGAAACCACGCTGGCCGAAAGGGTGAAGAGGCTGCCTCAAAACAGCGGTGGAGAAAGGTCAGTCTGGTCAGTGACTGTCAGTGGTTGTGAAGCAGTCAAAGGGTTATAAAAATGTATAGGAAAACTCCGAGTTTGTAACGTGTACAGAGTAGCTTCCCCTACCTGGGCTTCCATGCTAAAACTGTGGCAGATCAACAAACACCATTTCACTGCATTGTATCGATGTGCATGTGACGGTGTGGGAAACAGAAGAAAGGACCACTTCCCAGGCCGGCCACCAAACAGTGCTTAGCACAAAATTTCGAGTACCAAAACGCCCCATGATTTTCCACGGCCTTTGAGATTTTGGCCAGGGCTTTGGCTATCGGATGAGAGATGTTTTATAACAATAGAATACTTTCACTCTAAATATGTACCGTTTAACAATGATCAAGTTTCACCAATTCCAAACAAATAACAGTAGAAATCCTAAACCAATAAACTCTATTCGCCGCCTAATTATCCCTAGTTGATTGGTGGGGAGTGGAAGATGCGTCCTGGTACTATACCAAAATAATCCAATCAGTACAAAAAGGATACACCACAAACACCAAAAACATCCAAAAACCACTCCCTGCAAATCACATCGCAATAAACCATCGTTATACAATTGTAGCGGGCCTTCCCATCACACCTGCCACCAACCCGGTCCCCACCTGGTCCGTGGTTGCCCCTTCGCCGCATGTGAGACGCCTTCGCAGCCACCTGCGGCTGCGACGGTCATCGGGCGAGTCGTCGTGGTGAATCGATCTGTGCCCCACGTGTTTTCAGCACAGAATCCCATGAATATATTGTGCAAATACCCATTGTTTTTGGCCGGGTTATATACATCATTATCCAAGATCGTATGTATATTATATATTGGCAAGTTCATGTTGATCAAGTCAAAACATGAGAATCTGGTGCCCAGCTGCAATGGGGTTAATTTCCATTGGGGTTAATTTTCGGGCAACAACCTTTGTTGTCGAAAAGAAGCGGGTTCCAGGCCGCAAAGAAAAGGATTCCCCGCACGTTCACCAGTGAAGAGCTCTTTGCGGCAACATCGGACAAGCTTCACTTTTGCTGAAATTGTGGAGCGAATGAAAGGACTATCATTGAGCTATGGGCCGAACTAAAATGATGGTATATGATTCAGGTGCACGAGGACATCTCTCAATATTATGATATATAATTGTTTACAAGACTTGAGAGAGGAGGGGGTGAACGAAAGGTAGCAGGCAATCACAAGCAACCCTGGTAAAAGTCCATGACGGCGTGAACCGGCGCAGGGGGGATTTGATCCAGGGGGGCCCCCCTGAAAAGTAGAGCCTACCTGTACAGGGTTCCACTCCAACAGCTGATATAGTGTGTCCATGCTTGACTGCTTCAAGGCTCAAAGAGCAAGAGGATAAGACTCTGCGCATAAAAGACACTAGCGGTCTGCACCTCTACCGTGTACGCCCTAGTCACTCTTTCAGTGGTAGCGGAGCAGTGATCCTGGAAGACCCAGGTGAGCTCCTTTCCTAGGCATAGACTTGCTAGTGGGCAAACAGCCATGGATTGGATAGACGACTGGGAAGAGCCTGATGCGGATGTGGCTTATGAGCCAGCAGCCTACGTGAATAGGCATGTGAGAAGAGAACCAGCAGCAATAGCAATGACAACACAGGTCACTACAAAGGTGCCCCCATCTTATGATGGAAAGACTTCATGGTTTTCCTATGAGGATGCCATAGACGATTGGTGTGATATCACCGAGCTGGAAGATGAGAAAAGAGGACCAGCATTGAGAAACAGATTAGAAGGAGAAGCAGCTGTATACAAGCGTGTTTTAGACAGAGATGCATTGAAGGCAAATGATCCACCAGGAGCCGGCGTAGAATATTTCAAACGAGTACTACGACCATATTTCGTGAAAGGATCAACCAATGTATTCCTGTATAGGTTCATGCAATTCGTGCGCTTCAATCGAGGATCAGCTGACATGATGAAATGGATGACAAGATTCCAGATTTTACTCCAAAGGCTTATGAGCAGTTGGATGGACATGTTAGAACCAGTCACTCAAGCACATCCACAAGTCCTAGCTCAGATGCAGGCAGATGCAGCGTTGACTGGAACAGCACCAACGGCAGAAAGGATTCAGGAAATCATGCAGACCATCAATGGCAACATGAGGACCTTTCATCAGAACGAATTTCCTCTAGGAGAAAATCTCATTGCCTTACTCATGCTGTCACTTGCAGATTTGTCTCAGGACCAGCGAAACACTTTGACTTCATTGATGACTCATCGTGGCAGGGTCCTGCAGCAGTATACTACAACAGAGTTGAGGACAGTGTTCATCGAGATGTTCTGCACAACAAAGACTTCAGTAGACAATCCTTTGATGCAGCCGACAGGTGCTGGAGGTAGAAGATCATTTCTTGTACTAGACGAAGGAGAACTCGATGGTACATTTGGCTATTGGGCCGAAGATGATGAAGATGGAACTGAAGGATTTTTAGATGCCCTGGACGATGTCTTTTGGGTATATGATGATCAAAACTTCTCATGGTTCCAGAGGAGATTCCAAGGAAGAAGAGCCAGAAAAGGCAAAGGAAAAGGTAGAAGAAAAGGAAAAGGAAAAGGAAGATCAGGCCGCAGATTCTTCAGACCTCGTGGAAAAGGAAAAGGAAAGAGACGAGGTAAAGGCCATTTTGCTGATGAGCAACAGACAACATATCCAGAAGAGTACTTTGAAGAGAATCCTTATGAGGATACTTGGGAGTCAAACCAAGTAGCATATGATGCCATTCTTGCCGAGGATATGAATGACTATCTTCAAGGAGAATATGATGATGCCAATGACTTCTGGCAACAGCTTGAAGAAGCATGGTTTTCCCACAAGGGAAAAGGAAAAGGCAAGAGAAAAGGCGAGAAAGGAAAAGGAAAAGATAAAGGAGATGGCAAACAAGATGCAAACTATGCAAATCAACAACAGCCACGTTCTTTACCTGCACCTTCAAGATCTTCACAAGCATCAGGAGGTCAACAAGGTTTCTTTGCACATTGTGTGACAGCAGCAGCTGAAGTCCATGACAGTGAGGTGGACTTGCTGTCAGGCATGATGACCTCATGTCAAGATGAAGCTGACTGCGCGGTCAACAATGGTGAGACGATCTTCAATGGCATGAGTGCCCCTGTGAGGTACTCTTTGTCAAAGGAGATGCTCACAAAGGCTCCTGATGGCTTTGCGCTTATGAGCGCTGAGGAAGAAGTGAAGGAGATGCAGGCCATTTCATTTTTGACTGAGAATCGCTTCCCGCCGACTATTGCAATCCTGGACATTGGATGCACTAGAGCTATGGGATCAAGGCGAGCAGTCGACCATTTTTGCAACTATGTCGACAATCACCCAGATTGTGGATTATGGTACTCTTTTGAGTCTACCAAGAGCAAGTTTTACTTTGCCAATTCCCAGAAGGCTACTTGCTCTCAGAAACTGGTGATTTACATGTATGATCGCGCATGGACGATCCACCATACAGAGTTCGACATAGTGGAAGAAGGAGAAGTCCCTTTGCTTATGAGCTTGCCACAGATGAGGAACTTAGGCTTTGAACTCAGGCTGACACCTCAACATGCTTATCTGACATCGGTGCCTCTTGGTATCAAATATTTGGAGTTGAAGGTTGCAGCCAGTACTCATCTTGTCTTGGACTTCCAAGATATTGCATGGTATCTGTCTGACGTGAATTTGCAGACTCGGCGCGAGAAGAGTTTTTACTCTCACTTCACTCACTATGAATATGGTCATATTTCGGTTGATCACAATAGTGATGAAGATGTAGCTGAACATGCATATCCTGTGGTTGACTACTGGGAAGTAGATGTTCACAAGAGAGAACTGATACGTCACCACAAGGATTATAGAAAGATTCTTTTCCCAGCAACTAAGTCCTGTCCTGTAGACACTGACTTGCTGGAAGACTTGCGACTGACAATCATCAAGAAGAAAGAAGGTGGAAAAGAAATCAAGAAGCAAGATGATTGGCGCAAGGCAAAATGGAAGGACCTACAAATTGGCTATGAATGGCGTGGTAGAACAATTTTTAAGTTCAAGCCAGATGCCAAAATTCCAGATCTAAAGATCAGGAAGGCTGGCACTGAGCACCGTGGCATTGGTGATCCCGATGCAGTGGTGCGCTCCTCCTCAGAGAAGGTTCCCATTGCAAAGGACAGGGAACCAGGCTTCTCATCAGAGAAGGAAGGTGCACCATCCAGTGCCGCGGAAAAGCCCGCGCCGCCAAAGTTTCGGTATACTTCCAAGGGTTTTGATCCATTTTGGAAAGGACACAAGTCGAAACCATCTGAGCCTCAGAATGATTTAAAGGGTGATGATCTTGAGGAGTATGCTCCCTCAGAACCACCTGAGAGGCCAGAAGGTGAACTTGTAGAAATTCCTAAAGCATCAAAAGGACCATCAAGTGATAAACATGAACCACTTGAACCAGGTGATGGCGCTCTTGAGCCTAGGCGGATTTCAATCCCATTACCTGGTAGTGAAGTTGTTGCAATGACACCGGCATATAGGAAGATGTTACAGAGACTGGAGGACAAGGTAGAGCTTTATAAGCTTCATGTGAAGCACTACCATATGAGTCCTACTCAGTTTCGTAGACGTGTTTCTATGTTGAAGCTTCCTGACTCTGTTTTAGAGAAGTATGAATCAGTTGTCAGGAACTGCCGTGTTTGTAACACTTCAGTGGCACCTCCGCCACGAGCCAGAGTCTCCGGTATTAGAGCTTCATGTTTTGGTGATGTTGTTTTTGCTGATCATTGTGAGGTTGAACTTCACAAGAACAAGTATATCATCTTACTTGTTCTTGATGGTGCCACAAATCTTCTCTGGGCTACGGCACAGAAAGACCTCATAGATCAAACCACCATCCAAGCATTGAGGCAATGGTCTGATGAGAACAACTGTGTTCCAAAGGCCATCGTAGGAGACGAAGCCTTTTTCACCGATGCTTTTGTTGAATACTACAGGTTCCATGGTATACAACAATGTCCTTGTGGGCCAAGAACTCCTTGGCCGAACCGAGCAGAGACAGCTGTACGTTTGTTCAAACGTATGTGGCATGTTATGAAGGTAGATCTGGATGACCCACGTTTTCGTGGTGTTACGGTCAGAGAAGTGGTCAAGAAGGTAGTTTGGGCAAGAAATTGTCAGTTGACTATCAGTGGATATTCACCAATAGAGATAGCAACTGGAAGACGTCCACCAGATCTTTTTGACCTTGAGACCGCAAGCCCTGAGCAATTGTCAGCTAATGCCGCCGCACAAGATCGTACAAATTTGGAACTACAACGTGTGGCTTTGAGAGCTCATCAAGAAGCACGACAAGCTCAGGACCTTCGAGCAGATCTTGCAAGAAGGACTATGCCAAGCGACGGTCCTTATTTCCAAGGAGAGAAGGTTTTTGTTTGGACTCAGGATTCATCAAAGTTCAAGGATAAAGGACGTTGGGTTCGTGCCACAGTACTTGGACAAGAAGGAGCTATGGTCCAAGCCAACACTGGTAAGGCAGTAGTACGTGTGAATCAGTCGAAGGTTAGACGTGATCACGATGAGTGGCATGATGTTTCCATTCCGGCATTAGACGATGAGAATCCGGAGAACTTGCGTGAAGATCACGAACTGTATGTTGATGCCGAATTCGGAGAACAGTTCTTTTTCTTCT